AGAGAGATAGAGAGAGAGAGAGAGCAGAGATGCACGCAACACGCCTTTTGACTTGCCAAAGAGTAAAGAAGATTTTGTGTTTGGATGGAAGACAAAAGAATCAAGAAGGAACAAATATTTGCTTGTTAGGAAATAATAATAATATTTTTGGAATAACAAAATATATAATATAATGCTGGACTTTTAAAAACATTTGGAGGCCCCTAAATTTTGGAGGCCCTGTGCGGTCGCACAGCCCGCACATGCTATGGGCCGACTCTAACTCGAGTGGCAATGGAGTCAAGTCAACAGGTCTACCCTTCAGTTGGGCGCAGCTGCCATGCATGTTCCCAATTTGAGTCAATGTCAATTTCATCTTGCAGCGTGTCGAGAACACCTAACATGGACTATTTCTTGATATATTTTTTTTTTACATGGACCATTTCAATTTCTTTGGACTTTTGTTTTCAATGTCAATTTCATCTTACAGTGTGTCAGGAACACCTAACATGGACTATTTCTTGATGTTTATTTTTTGAACATGGACCATTTCAATTTCTTTGGGCTTTTGTTTTCAATGTCAATTTCATCTTTCAGCGTGTCGCGAACACCTAACATGGACCATTTCTTGATGTTTATTTTTTGAACATGGACCATTTCAATTTCTTTGGGCTTTTGTTTTCAATGTCAAAGTCTTGGGTTTCTTTCCTTTTAAAACATGGCAATCCTTGGTCTTCATTACACTCTTCATAATTCTGACTTCTTCATTATAGTTGGGTTCTCACGTTAGAATTTCCTTCACGAGTTCACATGGCATTCCCATTGCCAATTACACCTCCTTTGCATATTCCAAACTATTATTTTCTCTACCTCAGATGAGACGCACTGTTTGATCCACTTGAGTAATGTGGGCCCACTGCTCAGGGTATCCACCCAGCTACCCTTCATGCAAGGTTGAAGCTTCGTCTTACAAGGTTGCTGTACTTTCCCACTTTGGAAATATTCACAGCAGGTACTTGCATTGCATGGTTCTAGACCAGATGAAGGACGCCTCAGCCTCCGACTTCAGTGATGATACCGAGCTCCTCGCGGCACATTCGCTTTCTGTTATAAACGCCGCATTTGATTAGGCAGAAAACCCCAAGAAAGTAAACTGGTAGCAGTGTTCGAAAAATCGGCCTAGGCGGGAGGAACTGCCGCAATTTAACCCTAATTGTTAGGGGGAGGCGGCAGGGAGTTAGGCCGCGCCTGGGTGGGTCGGGTCCTTTAAATATATATATATATATATATATATATATATATGTTTTTTTTCCTGAGCTCAGACCCTTAGGCATTGATAACAAAAGCGTACGACTTTCACAGTTTGTACAAATTTCCCATCGGAATTATTGCCAGATATATATTGCATGCCATAATCATTGTTAGATTTAATTTTATATATATGCTTCAGTTGGGTGTTTTTGTATATATATATATATTGCATGCCATAATCATTGTTAGATTTAATTTTATATGCTTCAGTTGGGTGTTTTTGCATGTACTTAGTAGGTGCTTTCTTTGCTATGTGTTAAAGTAGAAAGAGCCACTTAGAACTATTCCAGTTAACTTTGCTACAAAGGAACCGGCAACCTGGAAGTTCAATGGAAGTTTATGTAGATTTTTCTCATTATTTGAGGTTTTCTTGATATTGCAATTTTTCTTTGGTTCAAGTCCAACGGTGATTGTTTGGGGGAAGAAAGGAAAACAAAAGACAATGATGAGGAAAAGGGTTATATGATATATCCTTTTAAGAGTCTAAATGAATAATTAATGAGTGGTTTCTAGAAATACAACTTGGAAATTTCTAACTCCCCCAAATGGCCCCTTTTTGTGTGTGTGGACGAAGTGACCCCTTGATCTCCAAGCAACGCGTTACAAATTTGAAAAGATTTGAGTCAGAGCCGGTCCATTAGATATGGAGGCCCTATGCAAAGAAAGCTGATGAGGCCCTATATGTATAAGTAAAATAACAATTTTTCAAATTTTAAAATTCATAAATCATAAAT